TGATTAATCTCCCAGAATGACATCTGGAACAGAACCTGGTTGCTGTGATTGGATTTACAACAAGTAAACCGAGCTTTGTGTGTAAAATCAATAGTGTTGCGACTGCTTATCACAACAAACTGACAGAAAAAAGTCAAATCAAACATCTGAATTCAGGTTTTGCAATTGCAGAAACATTGTCTGTGCCTTAATCCTGCTGTACTGTTCTCCTTCTCCTCTGCTTTCTTAATATAGAGCTGCAGAAACAATGCACTACAATGACTTTTTTTTTTTTCTCCCAGCAACAAAACTGTAAATGAGGTTTTTTTTTTTTTTTTTGGAACACCAGCAGAATCTCACCTCTCTGCCACGTGCTTCTCTGTTCGTGATTAATTATCACTTGCACTGTATCGCCATCAGTCAGCACTGTGAGAACTCTTTTATATTTATAGTCAAACCTGTTTCTGACACGTTCTTGTGCCTGAAAAACTCCAACGTCACGTCGTGTAGCTGATTTGTTTGTCGGTGAACCAAAAGTTGTATCTCATATAAAGTCAGATGCGATTCCTTCGGATAAATCACACGTTTCTACATCATTGAACAGGCTGTTATTTATCCAGGACAGCCACACCGAGACTTAGTTTTGTGTCATTTGATCGGCAGAGGGTTGGATGTTACTCCTGACTATAAATATCCCAAAACATAGAATCAGTGGCCTAAAAGTCTGCATCAGACACTCAGAACAAAACCTGCATCACTTCCTGAGCTGCTGCTGCTGCTGCTTTAGCATGTGTCACCGCTGCCCTCTGTTGGAAGCAGACGGTTATCTTCTCTAAAGGAGCATTAAACTTGATCACTGTCTAAATGCACCAGAATACGACTAATGTATCCGTGTGCGTGATGTTGCATTCTATTAATAGTAAAAAAATAATGCCACCTGGAATATTTAATTTTCCTTCTCTCGTTAGTCACTTTGCCTAAATCTGTCACCTTGCACTCATTATTTCTCATCGGCCACTTGACTCAGGCTATCTCATGCATTAATAATGCCCTGTGCTCGGTGAATAATGTAGTCTACGCAGCAGGATGGAGAACACAGGGAGAGGAGACGAGCCTCCGACAGCTCACCTTGGTCATCATCACAATGAGGCGGCTGTGAAAAGAAAAGAAAAAAAAAAAGGAGATCTCATTACTTAAGAAAGAAAATGAGAGTTGGCTCATTAAAAGTGGTTTCGGTTTTCTCTCCCCCTCTTTTGTCCTCTCGTTCTCTTTTGTTACCGCGCACATATCAGGACACTTCTAGAAACATTTCTCCTTGACTAGTCAAGGTGACTGGGCGTCCCCAGCCGAGCGGATCCGACAGCCCGGCGGTTCCACTCCACATGGAAAGCTTTTTAAAGCTGCCTCTGGTGGAGTCAGCAGGCAGCGGCGGTGGGAGCGGCCGTGCGGGAAATCGTTTTTTTTTTTTTTATTATTATTTTACTTTTTTTTTTTTTCCTTCCTCCCTCCATCGTTTGCAAATGCACTTTAATGTGTTGTTGCAGCGCTGCTCTGCTCATCATCAAACAGCGAGATCCAATCTTTCCCCGCTGAGCTCTGCCTGCGGGGTGCAAGTGGCCACGCCAGGCACCTGGACTAAATGCTACCATTAGCTCTCATGTCTCTGGCATAAAGATGTCTGGCGTTTTAATTAGTCAAACAGCGTCCGGCCGTCAAAACATACAAGCGAAACTACTTTTTTTTTCCAGAGCTGCATCAGAGAACAAATGCACATACGCATCTACGCCGAGACCTGTTTGACAAATGATGCCGCATATCAAGCAATTCCGCCAAGCGTGCACGGTTAATGAAAATGCTAATTGGTAGTTGATGTCTGTTAATTCCCCGCAGCCAGCACCCAGTCGCACAGATAAACAGCATTAATGAAATTTTAATTGCAAAAGTTGATATAAATGTGGCTGGTGGCGGCCCTGCAACAATAAGTCCAACAGTTTGCGTCGTAGCCGCAGACTTAATAATGAAGTCGGATTGTCAAGGCCGTGCTTTATGCTGTCAAGAAAAAGTTCCCTCGGCTTGCGTTTATTTGCATAATTCCTTAATGAGTCGCCGCGTGTTGACGGAGGCGTTTGTGGGTGTCGCTGCAGAGATGAAGGACCCAGACTGAACTCGTCCCCCCTATTATTTTCAAGCTGTCTGTTGAGCAGGAGTGTGTGTGTGTGTGTGATTGCTGCATTATTCCACACACCTGCATGAGGAGGGACTCGAGGGACCCCTGTAGGTCACGAGTCTGAAGCGAGTTTTTCTGGAAACGGTGCGGCACACGTGCACAGTCAGTAACGACCTGAAAACTAAAGTTTGCTGGTGAGAAGTTTCTGTTTGGCTCGTTTCTAGGAAATGCAGCTGTCAGTAGGCTGTACTGATTAAAAGCCGCTCTGATTAATGACCTCAAAAGTTGTGTGTTTTTTTGTGTGTGCAGGTTTAAAAGAGGGTCCAAATCTAGCCAACAGGTCAGACAGTTGTTCTTTGTTCCTGACGGGCAGCTGCACTTTGTGCCAGTTTGCCCAGATGAGAGGAGGGTTCCTGCCCTTTAGAGGAGAGTTTTATTATTATTCACTTGTGTTCTTTGGTTTTTCACTCGCTTGTAATCAAAAAACTGCTCAGCTTTACATCCACGACTCCCCTGCGATGTCCAATAGGAGATAACATTCATGCATGAGCGATTAAACGAGTAAAAAAGAAAAGCGAAGCACAAAGAGCAGCGCTAATGATAATGAGCGCATTATGCATTTTAAAATCTATTTTTCCCACAACGCCCGTTCATTTCTAACCCTGACAAGCAACAACAGTGTGATGCTGTTGGCCTGCAGCCATGTAATTAACTGGTGTTTTTGCAGTTTGTGGTTTTTTTTTTGTTTTTTTCTCACCGTTATTATGATTGATGGTCATTTTGCTCCGACTCTTCCAGAGGAGATTTTCCAGTCCCATGTCGCCCATTGGTGGTCTCCAGATGGCGCCAGGTTGGCTTATGCCACCATCAACGACACCCTGGTGCCCAGGATGGAGCTGCCCATGTTCACAGGGACGCCGTACCCGATGGGGAAGGACTACCACTACCCGAAGGTACGCGCTTTACTTCTATACAGCATTTACTAATAGGCTTAGTTGTATTTCACAAAATCAGCAATTTCTGACCTACAAAACGTGTTAATCGCATTTCTCAGATGTTATGTGTTTTATTGTTGATATATGTTTATATATTGTTCACTAAGCTCAGTTCTTCACCTGTTTCTTGTCTTTTTCAGGCTGGTGAGGAAAACCCAGTCATCACTCTGTATGTCGTGAACCTCAACGGTCCGCTACACACCATCGAGATGAGGAGACCTGATGATCCCAGAATAGGGTGAGTCGCACAAAAACTTAGAGTTAAGAGCTCGACTGATGCTGGACTTTTGGGGCCAATGTTGTCATCAATGTTAAATCCAACAGTTGTGAACAAAAGTCTACATATGCTTGTAAAGACCATGTGTGTCATGTGAGTCTTCAGTTTTTCAGTGACTCCTGTAACTCTGAAAAAATCAATCATGCATTTTTGTTCCTTCCTAGATTTATTACAGGTCTTCTGGACAAAATCTGCTGGTTCAAAATATGCATACAGCAACTTGACTTATCAGTTTTGGTGAAATCTGTGTTAATTAAATGTTTTTCGGGGCCTCTTAACTTCTTGTGAGTGATTACAGTTGACTACAGCTGCTGACTCCTCTGATCCAACTTCATTAGGACCCATTTCAACACTCATTAGACTCAGGCAATAGCACTACTGTAGGAAAGTCGAAGGAGCTCAACAAAGATCTAAAAAAGAAAATTAATGACTTGAGCAGGTCAAGAAAGTCACTTGGAGCCACTTCAATGCAGCTCCAGATCTGAAAGTCATCTGTGCAAACCATTGTGAATGGTACGGTTGTGTCACTCCTACAATCAGGAGGAAGACACAAATTATCACCTGAGAGACGATTGGTCAGGATGGGCAAGAGTTGACCAAGAATCATCTAAAAGCAGGTCTTTCCAGAACAGCAAAAGAACCAAACCGCATGATTGTTTTTTTTGTGAGACAGACACATATGTTTCTATGATTTACAAAGTAAACTAAGAGTTAAAGGAGTCATTGGAAAGTCAGGACTTCCATCATATACATGGTTTTTACAGGTGTGTGTAAACTTTTGTTCACAATTGAATGTATATATATTTTCTAGTCATTTATTTCACAAAGTAATAACCAACTTACCATGAAGGCACCACTTGACTCTGTACCGCCGTCTGTGATACGTACTCTGCTACATGTGCTGCAGACGGTGCTGAGAATGTTGTGAAGGATGGAATCAGAGATGCTCTGCTGGAGAAACTGTGTCATGAAGCCATTTCTAAATAACTTCAAGCATCTTTTTCTGCATTAGTCCAATAAAGGCCAGCTGATACATTTGACACATCAAAGATTTGAGCTAGATGTGAAAAAATAATTTTCTCACACGTCACCACACTTTCATGCAAAAACAGTTTCAAGATGTTGGAGGGTTTTCTTGCGTGCGCTGCCCGTTTAAATGGCTGTGAAGAGGTCGTTCCTTCTCTTTGAGCTCCTTCTTGGTGGATCTGTTATTGTGCTTCGGATCATTATCTTGTTGAAAGATCCACTCTCGGTTCAACTTCCGAGCAGATGTCCTCGCATTATCTTCAAGCACTCTCTGATACGACGCAGAACTCGTAGCGGACTCGAGTACTGCCAGCTGACTTCATATTAGGTGCTTCTTCATCCACTGCTAGATAGTTGAACCTTGAACAACGCTGCGTCATGTGGAAAATCTTCATCTGCAAAGAAACTGCTGAATGAATTTATTGGAGTACAAATATAAAATGGACAGTTAAGTACTAAACAATTACACTGAAGTGCAGTACTTAAGTAAATGTACTCGTACGCAGTCCCTGAGGCAGCGGAGTAGCTTAAACAACACATTTCCACCACTGTGCTTCGCAGTCGCTACGAGGTTCTTCTCCTGTAAAGCTGCCAAACACATCAACCATCACTGTGGCCAAACAGCTCCATGTTTGATCAGTGTGTCCAGAGCGCTTGGTGCCAAAAGGCTCGCTCTTTGCCTGTTTGCTCGCTGGCAAACTGTAGTTTTGCTCCAATGTTCTTTTTGGACAGCAAAGAGCTTTTTTTTTTAAAATCTGGCACGCCTCCCATGCTGCTGAAATTTGTGCAGTTGCTATATGATTGCAGCACTTTGACACCAGCAGTTGCAAAAAGTTACACACAGAGCTGTAATGAAATTCTGTGGGTCTTGGAGAACTTTCTTTTTTGCATAGATGCTCCGCTTTTGGGCTAAAGCAGGAGCTTGTAGATGACTTTCGATACAGATTATTGATTTTGCATCTGAAGTCATCTAAAGGCCTTCAAGACTTCTTCAGATCTCTGCAAAGTGATTCTTGATGTTCTTGTTTAAATGAGACCTGTCGCTTCCAGAGGGGGTTCTAGTCATTAGTACCTAATTGTGATGCTACTTTTTTTTTTTTTTTAATGTATTTGATGATATTTCCATGGGCAAAATCTGTTTCTTTAGATTATTAAAACATAAAAATGACTAGACAATGCCAGTTTGTATGTGTCATGAGTCAGCTTTTAGTAATATTTACAGTTTTCAAAAGAATATATGTTTGATTGTTCAAATACACACAAAAAACTTTAAATTTTTCACATTAATTTACATATTTTGCTCATATTCATCAATTTTCTTGTGTGTGATGGAGTGTGAGTGTTGCTATATATTCATTTTCTCATGCTAATTAGGTTTATATGCGGTGCTTAACAAATGTATTCGATAGATAGATAGATAGATAGATAGATAGA